TTCCCTATTACAGAAAATTCTTATGTTTTTGGAGCTCTTAATAAAGTTTTAAAAAGATATTAAAATATATTAAAGTTTAAAAATATAAATATGGTGATCATATTTGCAACTTACCAAAATAGATATACAATTTTTCTGCTACTATATAGTTGAACATGATTAAAATATCTAGGTGCTCTTCTAATATTGATTAACATTATTTTTAAAATGTAGAGTTTATAAAACCTTATCACACATTTTATTCTTATAATAATAATGTTTCATTTCTACATTTAAAGAGCAGAAAATAAATAAGTTAATAATAAGAAAACTGACTTTTTGGGCCAAAGTATTGTACAGATATTTAGACTGAAAATCATTAAAATTTGATTGTCTGCTCTAAACAGTGCACACTAATTACCTGCACTTCAAAACCACTTAAAAAATGTCTCTTTCTGTGTAGCTCAGTTGGTTGGAGCATTGTCCCAGTTAGTGATTGCCTGTCAGGGAGCATCCCTCCCTCCCTAGGTTGTGGGTTTGATCCCCCGGTCTGTCTTGATACATACAGGAGGAAATGTACAGGAGGCAATCGATAGATATTTCTCTCTCAATCAATCAATAAAAACATATCCTTGAGTGGGTATTAAAAAAAGTGTCTCTGAGAGATATGCCAGGTAAGTTATTTTAAAAACTTAGTGAAGAAATGAGAAAACTACTATATTTACCATATTTCATATTACAATTTATATTCTGCAATCTCGCCCTTCAGTTCTTTTTTATTTAAATAAAAGTAATCTTAATCTCTACTGTAGTTCATCTTTTTCATGTGTCCAGCATAATGCCATATGAAAAGTAGATTTAATATGCACAAAATGAGCAAAGGACTCAACTTAAAAAATTAGCTTTTATACAGGCAGAGTTTGGTCTAGGACAAAAGCAAATAGCATTACTGTTTGATTGAATTTAACTACCTAAGAACTATGGTATGTGAATAAAAAACGTAGCTTAAAGTAGTTATTGTCTGCTTTAAAGATCCTTATGACTTGCTTATAAAGCATAATAAAGTAGCTTTTAAATATGTTAGGTTTTGGCTAGTAGAGAGTTTCTTCTAAATAATATAACCATTTGTGTCTTTTGAAGGACAAACCACAATGATTATCAACCTTGGTATAACAACCAAACAGAAAATTGTATTATTTAGTCCTCAATAAGTGAAAGTAGTGGTGATATAGTATTTCTTATATCTGTATCTGAATCCATTTTTTATTAACTGTAACAAAAATTATCTGACATTTACCAGCAGTTTTAGGTGGATTTACATTTTTGTCTTTTTTTCACAAAAATATTTGGAGCTTTTATTCACAAATATATTCTTAAGAACTTTATATATATATTTCACAGCAGAATTTCAGAGAGGAAGGAAGTGGGAAAGAGAGAGATAGAAACATCAATGATGAGAGAGAATCATTGATCAGCTATCTCCTGCATGCTCCACATTGGGGACCCAGGCTGTAACCTGGGCGGGCATATGCCCTGACCGGGATTCAAACTGCGACCTTTTGGTTCATAGGTCAACACTCAACCACTGAATCACACCAGCCAGGCAAGAACTTAGCATTTGAATTAAAAATGTTTACTAACACTTTCTCTAATTTCAAGGTACTATAACACATGCCTACACGAATTCTATTTAGGTTTGTTTGTTCTTTCATCTTTTGCCAAATTATTTCACTTCTACATTTTTATTCTCAACTTTTATCTTGCTTGCTGTGCAATCTTATTTGTTATTGAGTAAAATGTCCCCCTCTATTTCTCTTTTCCCTGTTAATTTTTATTACAATTCTACATATTTTGAGTATTCCATTCCTTGTGAACATCTTACCAAAATTACTGTACCATGAAGCTCTCATCTCTTCTGGTTACTGTTTAGTTCATCTTTTTAGAGTTTCATATTTCTCTTCAAACTTACTATCTTATATAAACTTTTAGCTCTTGAGCTGTACTTTCTTCCTCTGATTTAGCAATCGATCCAAATTAGTTAATAAAATATGTATTTAAATGTAATGTCTGTGATGTTCTACATTTTTGTAGGCATTTTAGTGCATCATTTTATTATCATAACATCCTAATGAACAATTAGTATATTTACTACAGATTTGTAGGTAAAAAGATTCTTATTTCACCACATCCTTACTTTTATATTACTACTTTCAAAGTATAATTTACATGTCTGCTAAACTTGCTTTTCATCTGTCAAAAATCAAACATGAATTAATATGTTATTTAAGATAGACAGATGGATTAATGTCTATGGCTTTGAAATTTTTAAATCTATATATATTTCAAAAAAATTGAAAATACTCAGAATTTTTAAAATAGCTTGAACAGTAACTGAATGTCATTAGAGTTCATTAAATTTCATTAAAAGTATAGTATTAGATGTTTACCTGTTTACATTTAGAAAGCAAGCTGATTATAGTAATGGCATACACAGATATGTCAGGTTTGTTTGATTTCCAACTTTTATAGATGCTCACATTAGCCACAATAAGGCATTATCATCATGATCCAAGGGCATAATGGAAATCAGTTTCTGACAGAGAATATATTGTCCTTGAAAGTGCACTGACAAAATGAGGGTCCAACAATATTTCAAATAGTAAGAAATAGATCAAGGATTCTCCTACAGATTTCGAAAACAATTGTAGCTTCAATATTATTGTATAAATATTTTTCCCTTAGTATCTAAGAAGTAGGGTAAAATATTTTCAATATTTAGAAATATATACAATATGTATTATATATCTATAATACATGCAAATAATTACAATAAACACAAGCAACTTATTTAAGAGATGTAGAGCACATTTTTTTTTTCTGTAAAACTAGTAAGTTGAATATGTCTTTCTGATTAGCTTGCTGAAAGTATGACTGAGTCTATAAGGCAGAAAGTGTGAATTGATCAAACACTTGTATGCTAAATGTGTTAATTGGCTGGCTTTGATTTATTTATTTTCTTTTGTTCACTATCATATTTGTCCACTATTCAACTCCTCTATTAAATTATAGTCATAGATAGATTGCATTAATTTTGTATGAACTCTGCCTGAATAAAACACATCTTTTCTCATTTCTAAAAACATATTCATTAAATACAGAAATTTCAATTTGCACTTAGACTGCTAATAATTATTTTTTCAAGTCCACTTGTAACAGGAAGCTGAAAGACCAGTAATATACTTGTTTTAGAAAAGAATTAAATATCAATCAAGGCTATTAGCTTTGCACAGTCATTATGCATTTCTTCCTATACCAAATAATAGCCTTTTTTTCTTTTATAGATGAGTCCCTATACAATTATACTAAATATAGTAATAATTTGATATTTTTTCATGATAACTCCATTGTAACTTGAAAATTTTTTAACTTGGGCTAAAGTGATAATAACCCTCAAATAAAATTCACCCCCAAAAGCTGTTCCAGGAATACAATAGCAATGAGGAAATGCAACAAATTGACTCTATGCACTGCCAGTTGATTATGTCTTTTCACTCCGAATTAGTGGTCATGGATGTTTCAAAAATATATGTTTGGTGAAAACTTTGGAAATATACATAAGAATGTGGGATTTTTTAAGCCCTGAAAGGAAATTCTGACTTCTCAGTCATGTAAGAGTTAATTCTGTTTCTGGAAAGGATATACTCTGTAAGTTAGGTCTGGAAGGCAGCAAAGGCAACCTGGTCTTGAAGTAACACTTCTGTTGTCAAGGGTTACTGATGGGGGAAGGGATGGGACCGTAAGGGAAGGAGTTATGGAAATGAAGAAGGATTGTAGCACACACTACATAAATTCAAACGCTATACATGTATTTGGAATAAGATCTCAATTCTATTGTATTTTTGCATTTTGCCTTTTCATTTATTTAGTTTACACATGGCTGGTGAATTTATGAGTTGGTTGCTACTGACCTTATTCAGTACATCACTGTCTAATATCATTGAGCTGTAATTATAGTCATTATAATTTTGTAATTAAATTAACATTACTATTTACATATAAAATTATGTTATTTCCTAAGTTGTAATATCAGCAAATATCTAAGGTGGAACTTGGTGGAGTCTGTGTCATTTTCATTTACATAAAGATTTCTCTTTCTTTCTACAAAATTAAAGGTCAGGAAAATGCATGCTTAAGGGCTTTAAAATCACATATATTAAGATAAACCTATTAATATCCTAATATTTAAGAGAGTTACCTTTAATGATGATGTACAAGTATTTCTGCACAATGTGGTTACAATACTTCAAATTGCCAGTCACCACAGGCCTGCCTCACTTTGAATCTCCTTCTGCCAATTTGCATTGCTAATAGGCTTGCAAAGAGAGAAACTGTAAAAAGAAAACCTGGCAATTAATAGTAAATGCTTGACATATTGTGACATTACCAGCATCCTTAAGTTGATTTATATTTTCCCTGTCAATATTCACAAAATATTTTTTTAGTTTCTTATTTGGCAAAATAAAAATGATGCCCATGGCATTGTCATTGGTGGCATTTTTTTTCATTAGCATTTTAAAAACATACCCCATGTTTTATAATTGGTACACCCATGTTTTAGCTTCTACCATATTGACTTATTTATTTTATTTGGAATTGCCCTGCATTTTCAATAATAAAATTAGATGCTATTTTATTTTAGTGAAGTGCAGGAGTATCTAAGTATTTCGTGGGTTTATGTCAGAATAATGCTTACAAAAGGGTTTTCCTGCCAAAAGTATGTGTGAATTTTTCTCAGGAAAAAAAAAATGTTCTTTTGAAAGCCTTTGTATTTGCAAAGCCACTCCGCACAGGCAATTAAAAGCAAATATGAAATGATAGATCATATGACAGGAGTTTAAATGTGAGGGTTTTTTTCTCGGTTAAACATCGCAGCAGGCATTACAATACCAGAGGTAACGAATCAATTAAATCCATTTTCCCCTCCGCGCCTCCAAAGCTGCGAGCGTAGTGTTGCTGTGTACTTAGGGCTGAGCAGTAGGACCCAGGGGCCTCCGCTGCCACCAATAGTAGCGCGCACTTGGACCTATTTGCATGCAATGCCTTCTGCTCTGCGCATTAATAGTAATACAGATAACGGGTTTGAAAGAATTCTCTGCTGAAGAACGATTGGATTTTCCCAGGGTGCTGATACTGAGAAGAAACGCGATTTCACTCTCTCCCTCTCCCCATTCTTACATTTGTAAGTGTCAGGCCGCTTTTGCCTGGTTTAAACTCGGGAAGGTCTCCGGAGTGCACAGCAAAGTTGGAGGCTGTGCCCGCACACCAAGCCGCTGGATTCCTGGAAACAGTCTTAAGGACGGGTGAGTCTCCCAGATGATAGTAACGGCAGTGAGAGCCGGCTTTAGAATTATCAAAAGAGACATGCTTAGCTGCATAGCGGTGGTGGTTGGGGTGCAGAAATGGGTGCAGAAAGGACTGCAGTTTGTCAGAAATTGTTCTGCTTGCACGGGGTATTTTCATATAGAATCAAAACCCTTCAGGCTAGATAGGAAATCGCAGCCCTATGCTAGGGCAGAATTCAACAAGTTCCCCTGCAGGGTTGCGACGTTAATTTCCTTGTAAATTGTGGTGAGTGTCCGTTCTGGGTGGGCTGGGCCAATTTCACAAAGAAGTTTAGAAATTTGTGTCTGTGTCCTATGGCTGGGTTCATCTTTTTGGAGGCGGTTGCGTGGCGCATCGGGGTTTTCTGGGGATGCACAGACCTGCTGCTTAGGATGCTCGGAGCATCAGCGGCCTGCAGGTTTGCTCTGGGGAACTTTGCCGCGTAATCTCGGCGTCTCTGACCGCACCGGGGTTCATTATGTGGAGTGAGGCGCGGAGACCAGCAGTTGCGAGGCCATTCGCCTCCAAACTTCGATAGCATTCTCCACGGAGGGTGACAATGGGGCTTTGGAAAGAAGCCTAACTGGAGGCATTTTGGTAAACTCTTGGTGATAGGCAGGCAGTGAGGTTTTCCAAGACCCGCGTTTCCATCTCGCAGCTTCTTGCTTGGAAAGGTGGTGCTGATGTGGAGACAGGCTGGATTTTGAGAGAGCGCGAGGGAGAGAGGGAGAAAAAGAGAGAGACAGATGAGTGACCAAGGCGCGTCTCATCTTTTCACACGCGAAAACCACACGCGTGGACGTGTCAGGAAGTGCTCCAGTTGGTGGCGTTTAGCTGGAAACCGTAATGCAGGGAGGTCCAGGCGCCTCTGCATTGCCGATGAAGCGCCTTGACCTTTTGGGGTTTCTTCTTGCTCCTTCTCTCTGCCCCCTCTTCTCTCCTTCATCTCGCCTGGAGCTAGAGGTTTGTGCCGGTGCGGCGGCGCTCGCGGCTCAGCCCCGCAGCGCTGCGGACACAATGGGGAGAGGAAGGCAGAGCGCCCTGCGGACGGGAGGAGCGGGGTGCTCCGCGTGGCCATCCCATCGCTGCAACCCCATCGCTGCGGCCGGAGTTGCCGCTCCGCCCCGGGCGGCAGCGCTGCGGAGGCCGCCAGAGCCCGGCGTCCGCGCGCCCCGAGATGTCGAAGGGCCTCGCGGAGGACGCGCTCACCTGACCACAGAGGTCCCTGGTCACTTCTCCAGGAGCCACTCTGCAGGCAGACAGGTGGGGTGGGCAGATGGAATGCTGAGACATTCCGAAGAGCCAGCCTCCGGTCAGAGCGCACCCGAAAATCCCTAGGGTGTATTCCAAACGTTCTAGAAGACCCGCACCCCCTAAGGAGAAAGGGGACCAAGAGGAAAGAAGGGAAATGCTGATAAGGCTGCAAGAGGAGGAGGTAGCCAGTGATGTGGGCCAGTTCTGGTCATCGCCAGGCTTTTCTTGGTTCTTTTAAGTGGGTTGCTTTGAAATGCGATTCCTGGCCCCTCTGCAGCACCGAAGGGGCAGCTTCCAGACCCAGAGCTCACTGGGGACTCCTCCTGTAGATGAAGGGAGGGAATGCAGGGCAGGGGGCTTCATTTCAGTGTCACTGAATCCTGACCTCAGCACCTCCCACCTATTCATGCTCTCACCAGGGAGTGCCCCGACCTTGCAAACTCCTCCGGGTTATCTGTCTGGTTCCTTTAAAGTGCTTTTTATCAGCTGTTTAATTTGGAGGTGGATCACCCACCCGCAGTGAGCTTGTGGAGGACGGGCCATAGATGCACTTGAGGATGCTGGTTGTTTAAAGGGCATCTTTCAGAGGTAATATACATACTCCTCTGAGCACAATATCATTGCCTTATTTTCCCAGTCTCTATTTTTCTCCTTCATCATTGGAACGAGGATGTAATACTAAACAGAAAATATTTTGAGAATCCACCAATTTATTAGGAGGCCAACTAGGAGCCTGGCAGCTTGGCGTTTAGGTCCAAACTTGGATGATCCTTAGACCCGTTATTTAGAGAGACTCAGTTTGCCACCCCAAGAACCGCGTCTCTGCGATATCTTGAGGAGGCACAGGTAACTCTTTTGAAAGCATTTGTAAGGTGTGCAGCATGTTGATTTTATTAAAGGGGATTGTTAAATGGTTTACGGTGTTCATGAAACTCCTCCCCTCCCCAAAGGGGAAAAAATCAACAGCAGCACCCCAGAACAAATAAGTATCCAGTTGGTAAGAGGACTTTGTGTTTTAGGAATCTATCCTCCCCCAAAAGGAGGGGAGGGTAAAGCCAAGGAGTGTCTAGGAGTGAGGGCATCCACCTCATAGCGTTGCCATGGATTTTGGACTCCTTAATGTTTCTCATGCATCTCCCTACTCCTTGAGTCTCCCAGTTTAGCTCTGGGTGATCTGAAGAGCTGAAGCACAATGACACAGCTGCATAAGGGGGAGGAGGACTTGCTCCAGCAAACAGCTGTTAATCACATCTTTGCTGTATTTTCTCACTTCCTTTTACTTCCTTCCCTTCCCCTGTCCTTGAACCAGTGTTGCCATCTTTTAGGCTGTATCCTGGGAAGGGGTAGTGATTTTTTAGTGATATAGCACTCTGCTGAGTGTGGGAGGAGGGCATAGATTCAATTGCTGCCTAGGGATTCACATAGGTTTAATGCTGACTTTCTCTTAGCCCAAACTGCACACAATTAAAAAAAAATGCAAATCTTTTTATATATCTCCAAAGAGAATTATATTGGTATATATGATTGTCTTATTTTATCTTATAATAGAATAAATTCAAATACAAAATAGCATTGGTCAGAGATGAAAGGGAAGCTGTGTACTTGATTATAACATTTGGAAACTAGTGTGCTCAGCTGTGAGATCTCACCTTTTGACATCCATATTTACTTGACACATTAGGAGCTGATTTTTAAAAATTATTATAATTTTAATCATGAACTGAGGATATGTTTATTGATTTTTTTTTTTTTAGAGAGAGGAAGTGGGGGAGAGAAAAAGAGAGAAACATTAACGTAAGGGAGAAACATTGACCGGTTGCCTCCCTATGTCCCTGAGGAGGTATTGAACCCAAAACCTAGATATGTGCTCTGACCAGTAATTGAACCTGTGACCTTTTGATTTAGGGGACAGAACTGCAACCAACTGAGCCACACTGACCAGGGCAGGAGATATTTTTATTTCAGTAAGATTTAATATGTTACTTTCATTAGGAGGCTAAGCAACTCAAGAAACTGTAAATATATGAATTTTAAAAGAAAAAAGGGCAGCAAAGAAAGCCTTTGGCAATGTGATGAATGAGCAAGTGCAATGCATCTAGTGAATTGCATCTAGAAACTTAAGGTGAGGTTTCCTCCAGTTCACTAGAGAATAAGTACTTCCTTATTGCTTAGAAAACTCAGCTGATTTCTCTCTCTCTCTCTCTCTCTCTCTCTCTCTCTCTCTCTCTCTCTTTCTCTCTCTGAATTCAGAAGCAAAACATAATAGCAGACAGTAGACTACGACCTGGTCATATAATCATTTATCTCTCTAAACTTTCTGTTGAAGTGAGTGAGCAATATTTGTGTTCATTTGCTTATATTTGCACCTAGGATACATTAGTGCTAAATGGACCAGCCAATTCTCCTAATTTTGAGGAAATAGAGGCCCTAGAAGAGGGACTGACATACATAAGGCCATATAGGAGAAAACTGTAGACTCAGTGCTAAGCACCTTACCCACAATAGGTAATTCACAGTCCTCATATCACTATTTTAAAGTAGTTTTATTAGATTTCTTTAACATATGAAGCTCAATACAGATAGCGATTCAGCAAATGAGGAGCAGATCCATAATTGTTAACAAATTTTCGCTCATGACAAGAATAGGTTTGTCTAGTATGCCATGGGCCTATTTCTCCTTCATATTTAATTAGGAATTTTATTATCTTTAAATTTTTGTTTATATTTTAATCTGCTAAATATATTTTTCTCATCCAAATCATACTTTGCATTTCCCAAGACCAGTCATCAGTAAACAGTGACTTTCCAAGGATGGCTTAGTCAATGAGTATCTGCCTTAGTGAGAAGAGTCTCAACTGTAACCCCCACCCCAACTGCATCAACATTATCTAGGGGGTCAGAGAAGAGGGGGTGAAACTTAGAGCTTTATTTATTTGTTTTTAAGGTTGCACCAATATTACAAAGGAGTCTGGGAAGAAGCCATCATGTTATTCTCACACAGAAATTGTATACCTTCATCATCACATTTCTATGAGCCTGGCTTCTCTGATTTGGATGTTTCTCCTCTTTAACTGTCCAAACCCTATTTCTTTGTCTAGAGTGGTTCATGTACCTCCTCCACCATGATATTTTTCTAACTGTTCCAACCCTTATAGTTTTTATACACCTCTGAAATTCCCAATCAATTATAATTTCTACCATTTAATTTGGTCTTTATTTGGAGGTTACAAGGAGTAAGCTAACATTTTTTGAGGATTCACTCTATATTAAATCATTTTACATAACTTATTTGTCAAATACAATTTTCTACTTGTTAAGCAATATTTCTCAAAGATTGGCCATTAAACCAAGGAAACCTTTGAATCAACAAAAATAACACTTAAAATGCCACTTTCTGACTCCACCCGCCCCATTTAATACATTACAATAGGCGGGGTGGGTCTCTGACATCCACATTCTACCAAGCATTCCATATTTAACCAGCCTCTTGGAGTTTATCACAACAGTTGCTCCCCAACTCAGCCAGGTCAATGTGGAGCTTAAATTGGCATTTTAGGGGAGTAGCCATGAGCATAATGTCTTAGATTTTATGGAGACCCATGAGCATGTCTTCCTTGATTATTGAGCCTCAAAGAAGGATTTGATCTCAGACGATAGCAAGTTAAATCATTTTTACTGATGCAAGAGAGTTCTGCATCAAAAAGCCACACATGTTAAGAGCAGA